GTACGGGTACGATACATGGGTACGATACATGGGTACGGTCGGTACGGTACATGGGTACGGTACATGGGTACGGTTTTCGTACCCACGTACCGTACCGACCGTACCCGTATACCATGTACCCAAATAGCGGCAGAAATAGTGGCAGATCTGCTGCTATTTCTGCCGCTATTTGGGTACATGGTACGGATTTCTGCCGCTATTTAGGGTACATGGTACGGGTACGGTCGGTACGGTACATGGGTACGGTACGTTGGTACGAAAACCGTACCCATGTACCGTACCGACCGTACCCATGTATCGTACCCGTACCGTACCCGTACTGTACCCGTACCGTACCTGTACCGTACCCGCACCCGTACCCACACCCAAACCCGTACCAACCGTCCCGTACCCATCTAAACTCCTCAGCAAGAACCCCTCCGCACCATACGTCATGAACCCAATAGAAAACAGGGTTTTCATTGCTCTTGAAATTAGCTAACTCATCACAGTATAGGCCAGAGATGGTGTTAACACCATGTCCAAATCTTATGCTGAAAACCCCTACTAACTGCAAGTTGATTGCGGCGATGTGCAATCCTGCCGTCAAAACATGATAAAACTTTTCATTTCCTTCGCATGCTATCCAGGTTCCATTCTTCTTAAGCCAGCCTACCCTCATCACTCCAACAAAGGTTTCGGCGGCATGCCTGAGAATTTCAATATAGGAGACAAACTGCCTCCAAACAGCATTGGAACTGCGAAGTAGGTGAGCGCACGACGGCAGTCTTGTACTCTAACTTGAAGTATCTTACCTTGCCACTTAACACTAATCATGCCATCCTTCAACGAAGTCAGATCAGTTACCGTGGCGGGACCATGCCACCTAGAGATGTCCTTATTTAGATTAGATCTATGGATGTCAACTAAGTCTCCAACTTCAAGATTGCGAAGCTCACCTGCAGGTCTGGTTTTAGTATTGGCAGCTCTTCTCAATCGATCTTCAGCAGTGGCACGAATGATTGACTGAATGGCTGTGGCTCTTAGCTTGCTAGGATCTTCAATTTCAAGGTTATCCTCATGGTGCATCACATCTAGCAAAGGAGGAGTTCGTCCATACAATGCTTCGAACGGTGAAAAACCACCATATTGAAGTAACACGTTTTTAGCAAACACAGCCTCTTGCAAAATCTGTGGGAATGAAACACGAAGGCCATCGGACGTGGCTTGTGAATCAATCAAATGCAGTTGTCGACGGAGTAATTCATTATGGCGTTCAACCATGGGTGCATGTTGGCCCTTGGCCATGAGTTCAAGTTTGATTCCAAGTTGTTCCAAAATGGCACCGGCATATTCATTCAAACCACCTTCCTGGTCTGATATCATGACCGTTGGAGCACCAAATCGACTAACCCAACCTTCTCTGATTCCTGAAATCATCTCATCGGTAGTTCTATTGGCTAACTCCACGGCTACCGTCCATCGGATGCAACGATCAACCATGTGAAGGACAACATGGGTTCCTACAAACAAGAGGTCGATTTCTACCTCCAAGGTAAACTTTTCTGGTTATCGGGTAGAAGTCATGGACCTGGGCCCTGGTCTGGACCATGCACGACAAATCTCACATGTGGAAACAATGTCAGGCACTAACGCTACAATGTCGGAGGACACACCTGCTGCTGTGAGGAGGGTTGCCATTCTTCTGCTTGGAGCATGATACCATCTGATGTGCAATTTTCGCAAGGCCCTTCGTACAACACCCGGCCTTGTTGAACGAAGCAGCTGCAAGGAAGTTCCAAGGGCAAATTTTCTCCAAATAGGAGCATCGGCAATTTCAACAACAGCTTGAGCATCCACTGGATTTGGTTGTGCCAGTCCATCATCAGCACCTGGATTATGAGGAGCATTTGCTCCCTCAATCAAGTTCTCATCAACACCAGCCTGCACCTCAACCGAGCTCTTAGCATGGCGACGGGCTGCCGCCTGTTCTGGAGTAAGTACTTCTGGCTCCACGGCTTCCGATCCAACGGCATTTGATCGGAAATCTGGTCGCACAAACTCTGCAGGCAGACGAAGTCTAGCAGTTGGCTCATTGGCAGCTGGAACTGCTGGATCTCTAGGATGTCTACCTTGACTTGTCTGGCACGGCTTCCACCTTCTGCTGTGCTTCGGGCGATGGCCCATCTACAAGTCGGATCGAGCTTATGACTTGGATCAGAACGATGTCGGTTGCGTACGCATGCTGGACAGGTCCACTCAGATGGGACCTCATCTTTGAACTTGCATGTTTCATCTCTCACACGTCTGGGATCATCTTTACAGATGTGATTGCGACATCCTGGACAACTAAATGTTGGGTATGCAAGGTTTGCTGCATCATGTGCATATCTGTTTAGAATCAAATCTGCAATTCCACACGCCAAACTTCGACACAACCGCAAGGGCCATACTTCAGAAGAGGACTTGACTTTTCCATGGAAATGATCTGACACACAAAACTTATCACGCACATGAGCAATCAATTGCGGATCGGAGGAAACAAATTTGGTAGGTTTCTTCAATGGCACCATGTGATCATCTTTCAACCCAAAGCGACACTGATCACAAAAGCCAATGTGCAAGGAAGGCAGGAGGGCCTTCCACTTGGGCAAATCAAACATGGTGCTGTTGCGCGGCTGTTCGATGATAAAATGGTTGTTGCATTCAAGCTGGAACTCGGCAATCTGTGCACAAAGATTGGCCAATGGGATCCCTGAGGATCTAGCTGAGCGAACTGCTTCAGGATAGATGACACGATTGAGATGAACCCACGGACCGAAACCCTTACATGGCGGGGCTATCACAATAACATCAAGCCTATATCGTTCCAAGTACTTCCAGAGATCATTCTGTCCATCTTCTGTGGTGAGATCAACACCGTATCTTATTTCAAATTCTTTCCACTCTGGAGTCCAAAGAGACGGGTGCAGAATTGGGACGTGTTGGCGTCACCTCCAACAGTTCACACACATGAACCTTCTTGGAATGCAATTCATAAAAGTTATCTACCTACCTGTTGCTGCAACTTCGAAAATTGATATAAACAATAAGTGGATCATCGGGCTGTGCTTCATTGGAGTTGTTACTCAATGCATCAACATGTGGATGTGTCCCGATCATGTTGTCATGAGCAAAGGCATAAACGGCATGTTCCCAATCACACAAATTTTCATCAAGAGCCTTAAGGGAATTGAAATGATGAACTTCACTGAGCGATGGGGCTATGCTGGAATGGTCATCACCCATGTCATCAGCTGTTTGCGTTTACGAACAGTAGCACCAGACTTCTTCTTTTCTTTCTGGCGCACTGCTTGTTCGGTTGGAAAGGCAGCCGTTGGAATCGAGCAATCATTTGCTGGCTGACGCAAGAACGGATTATTACTGGGGCCTAAATTGGTACGGACTACTTCGTTAGGCTCCGAGGCCAAAGTTACACCCGAGAGTAGATATGGCCACACGTCCCTTGAGGTTAAGTTAGCATTTCGGGCATCATGCAAGGCTCAAGCGACAAACACAAGCATCACTACAGGAGAGTCAGCATGACTGTGCAAAAGGTGTGAGGGAAGGCTTTGCGCATGGCAGTACAGCCAGCACAGCTGTCAAGAAAGGCCATGCTCATGGCAGTACAGCCAATACAGCAAGTTAAGCGTGACAAGTTTATGTTCAAAGGAAGTTTAGGAAGCAAACTTCCGAGTTACAGTAAGCTGACCATGGGGAATTTTAATGTAACCATGTTACAAATAATCTAGCCCTATCATACAGAATTGTTAGCAGAAGATGGGGTGAAAATTTAAACATGTGAGTTTTTGGCCAGATTTATACTGTATGTCCGCTACTCATCCCCTTCGAGTCTTTGATTTTTTTTGGGCTTGGGATCACAGTTGTTGGAACCCAAAGCCCAACAGATGAACCACCCAAAAAACATGGAACAAATTAAAGGACCGGATAACCCCACAAGTCAACTTCTTCCTAAAATGAGCTTCAATGGTTTCAGCGGGGACAGGGAAGGAAGGAAAGACAAAGGAGGTGGTGAAAGATCGTGTATGTATGTATGTATGTATGTATGTATGTATGTATGTATGTATGTATGTAGGTACGTATGCATGCATGCATGTATGCATGTATGTATGCATCCGACGATGATGACATAGAGGAAAGGTACCTGGCCGCAGAAGTGTTGAACACGAATGTAGCTGGTTGTCAATGCAACTATGGAAGACACGACACAGTCACAGTCACAGGCAAACACCATGACACTAACTGCGCAGGTTTTTCCAAAGATGTCAAGCAACCGCACAGTTCAGAAACACACAGGCGTCGCGACTTTTTCCACATAAGTGTCGCTTCGCCACGCATCTGCATACGCTTCTTCCCACATTGGGTCAAAGCTCTGGCTCCCGACGTCATAGATTGCTTGACTCATTGTCGGGCCGTGAGACACGCGCCTGTCCTCCGTCCAAGAAGCTCACTGGAAGGGCCCCTGCGGCAGTTGCAAAGACACAGAGGCTTCATGCGTGCTATCTTGTTACTACATGACAGCTGCAATAGCTCGGCACAGCATGAACCCCAAGAACCAATCTATTCTACATAGCTTAACCACAGTAGATATCTTATTGATCAACCGTATAGATGGCCAGTTCCCGGCCTGCGCATTACTTCACCATTGACAAGCAACACCTGGCAGCACAGAAAAAGGTTCAAGACGAAACCACAAAATAAAATATATAGTTCTTTGGTAGAGATCCACAGCGCAGCCTGCAGTTGTTGGCATCGACTGCAACAGAGCGGAAAAGTACCTGGCCGCAAAAGGACAGAACGTGTATATGCAGCTAGCTATCAAAGCAACATGCGTAGAAACGATACAATTCAGTCTGCAGCACATGTCACGAACGGTTTTGATTTGGCCGTCGCAACCCCACCGTTCCCACATGGAGTTAACAATGGGTCTAGGAGAAAACGAAGAGAGTACTACGATGACTTCAACCGGTGACATACGAAGAAAACCGCGCCTGCCCTAAGGTCATAGGCCCGATGACGATACCAGAACGGAAAAGTACCTGGCCGCAAAAGGACAGCGATGTATATGGAGTAGGTTGTCAAAGCAACAAATACAGAAAGGACAACATTCAGTTTGCCGCACGAATGCACAACCACTTTTGCCACAGCATCAAACGGTTCTTCGCACATTGCGTCAAACCATTGCTTCTCCCGTGGACTGCTGTCACGACGTCTTCTTGCGACGCTGTTCAGACGGAGATTCCGCTGCAGCAGTGGACATAGGCAATGACCCAGCTCTTGGGGCCACCGCTGATGCCTTTGACATGGGTGCGCCACACATCGTTGGGGCCGCAGTTGCGCGAAGCTCGCGGCTCCAGCTCGCTCAAGCGGCATTCTTTCATCAGAAGCTGACTCGCCATGACTTGCGATGGGCGGTGATGGTAGTTGCCCGATACGGTCTTGCACATCTGGTGAAGTTACACGAAGGGTAGGCCCTGAGGAAGACACCAATCTTGGCGACCGCTCTCTTGATTCCCGGTGTGCAGCAGGTGGTGCCATGGCTACCGTAGTGTGTGCGTCCAAGAACCGTGCCACATCTTCCCGTTCTTCTCGATTGGCTCCAGTCAAGTTGATCTCCACAAGGGAGCCGTCGCTCATTGTCACACTGATGAGATCAGGACGACGATTCCGCCTGTTGCTCGGCTGCTGCACTCTTCCACGTTCTTCTCGGTCTTGCGACGTTGCCATAGCTGCAGTGCCTTGTCAACAACGGACAAACTAAATCCAAATACTAACATTTCTTCACGAAACAAATGCAAATGACTAGTTGGAATTGTGATCGTAATGGTGGTAACACTATCCTCTGCAATGTCGCTTCGGCGGCCTCTTTCCACGTTGGGCTAAGGTCACCAAAACAGAATTACGCAGCTCCGGTCGTTTCTTTCCACGTTGGGCCAAAACGATCAGAGCAGCAAGAGATGATCCGATGACTGCATCTTTGCATGCAAATGACTAATTTCACTTGACTGACTAGTTGTAGTTCTGGTTGCGTCGTATGCTTGCTAGAGATGTTGTCCGCAAAAACTTCACTGACTAGTTGTAATTGTGGTTGTAGTGGTGGTAACACTATCCTCTGCAATGTCTGCTTCGGCGGCCTCTTTCCACGTTGGGCTAAGGTCACCACAGCAGAATGACGCAGCTCCGATCGTTTCTTTCCACGTTGGGCCAATACGACCAGAGCAACGGTAGATGATCCTATGACCGCATCTTTAACTTGACTGACTAGTTGTAGTTGTGTTGTAGTGGTATGCGTGCTAGCTGCTAGAGCTGTTGTCTGCAACTTCTAGTTGGGCCAAGAACCACAAGAACGACATGATGAAAGCCTGCATGCAAGAAACAGAATCTGTCTGGGCCCTAGTTGTAGTTGTGTTGTAGTGGTATGAGTGCTACCTGCTAGAGCTGTTGTCTGCAACTTCTAGTTGGACCAACAACCACAAGAACGACATGATGAAAGCCTGCATGCAAGAAACAGAATCTGTCTGGGCCCCGCCTGTCGTAGCGACCACGAGCAAGACCAGCCCCTGGCTGTGTGTGTGTGTGTGGAAGGAAACATGCCAAAATCAAACATGCCGAAACACGCGGAAAGAAGAAACATGCCGGAAGATAAACATGCAGCAAACATGCCGGAGCGACCACGCACAAAACATGTCATTGTGGTGCAGTGGTATGAGGGTGGTAACACTACCCTCTGCAATGTCTGCTTCGGCCGCCTCTTTCCACGTTGGGCTAAGGTCACCAAAGCAGAATTACGCAGCTCCGGTCGTTTCTTTCCACGTTGGGCCAAAACGACCAGAGCAACGGTAGATGATCCTATGACCGCATCTTTAACTTGACTGACTAGTTGTAGTTGTGTTGTAGTGGTATGCGTGCTAGCTGCTAGAGCTGTTGTCTGCAACTTCTAGTTGGGCCAAGAACCACAAGAACGACATGATGAAAGCCTGCATGCAAGAAACAGAATCTGTCTGGGCCCTAGTTGTAGTTGTGTTGTAGTGGTATGAGTGCTACCTGCTAGAGCTGTTGTCTGCAACTTCTAGTTGGACCAAGAACCACAAGAACGACATGATGAAAGCCTGCATGCAAGAAACAGAATCTGTCTGGGCCCCGCCTGTCGTAGCGACCACGAGCAAGACCAGCCCCTGGCCGCAAGTGTGTGTGTGTGTGGAAGGAAACATGCCAAAATCAAACATGCCGAAACACGCGGAAAGAAGAAACATGCCGGAAGATAAACATGCAGCAAACATGCCGGAGCGACCACGCACAAAACATGTCGTTGTGGTGTAGTGGTATGAGGGTGGTAACACTACCCTCTGCAATGTCTGCTTCGGCCGCCTCTTTCCACGTTGGGCTAAGGTCACCAAAGCAGAATTACGCAGCTCCGGTCGTTTCTTTCCACGTGCGGCCAAAACGAACAGAGCAACGGTAGATGATCCTATGACCGCATCTTTAACTTGACTGACTAGTTGTAGTTGTGTTGTAGTGGTATGAGTGCTAGCTGCTAGAGCTGTTGTCTGCAACTTCTAGTTGGGCCAAGAACCACAAGAACGACATGATGAAAGCCTGCATGCAAGAAACAGAATCTGTCTGGGCCCTAGTTGTAGTTGTGTTGTAGTGGTATGAGTGCTATCTGCTAGAGCTGTTGTCTGCAACTTCTAGTTGGACCAACAACCACAAGAACGACATGATGAAAGCCTGCATGCAAGAAACAGAATCTGTCTGGGCCCCGCCTGTCGTAGCGACCACGAGCAAGACCAGCCCCTGGCTGTGTGTGTGTGTGTGGAAGGAAACATGCCAAAATCAAACATGCCGAAACACGCGGAAAGAAGAAACATGCCGGAAGATAAACATGCAGCAAACATGCCGGAGCGACCACGCACAAAACATGTCGGAAAAAGCAGGAAACATATCGGAAAATAAAACATGCTGGAGCGACCATCAAACATGCTGGAACATAACATGCGCAAACAGGCCAGTAGAACAAACGAGGCGAAGGCGAAGACGAAAACAGGTCGGAAAAGACAACATGCCGGAGCGATCATAAGACATGCCGGCACATGACATGCGTAAACAGGCCAGAAAACACATGAGTGCCACGCCTGCCACGCAAAGACGGTAGATGTGAGATTGTGCCACGCCTGCCACGTGAAACGAAGGTGGATGTCAGGTTGTGTCACGCCTGCCACGCAAAGTGGGGCGGCGCCCCGGCGACAAATCCCGGCCCAAGGGCGCCACCCAGTACCATAAGTGCCACGCCTGCCACGCAAAACGACGGTAGATGTGAGATTGTGCCACGCCTGCCACGTGAAACGAAGGTGGATGTCAGGTTGTGCCACGCCTGCCACGCAAAGTGGCGCGGCGCCCCGGCGACAAATCCCGGCCCAAGGGCGCCACCCAGTACCATGAGTGCCACGCCTGCCACGCAAAACGGCGGTAGATGTGAGATTGTGCCACGCCTGCCACGTGAAACGAAGGTGGATGTCAGGTTGTGACACGCCTGCCACGCAAAGTGGCGCGGCGCCCCGGCGACAAATCCCGGCCCAAGGGCGCCACCCAGCACCATAAGCGCCACGCCTGCCACGCAAAACGACGGTAGATGTGAGTTTGTGCCACGCCTGCCACGCAAAACGACGGT